CATGGTAAGAGGCTCATAATTTCTACTAGAATCCGTTTTATAATCATGCTATTATTAAACACCTTCTGGTCTCAGGGCAATGAAAAGAAGAGACTTGCTGCTTCGGCGTTATTGGAGAAGAGAAGATGATGGCACATACGGTACTTTTTAACTGAAATTTTTGAGAAGAATGTACAATTGTTACAAAATAATTAATTTCTCTCATGCACTGTTTTGCTGCAGTAATTCTCTATCATTCCGTTTTCCACAGAAAGTGTCCACCTCAACGCGGATATGTTCGTGCTTACTTTAAAAGTAATGTATACTTAGATTTGAAATTTTTAATGCCCTTTTTCTATCAGTAATGTTGGCTGGCCTAAGCTCTTTAGTTTAGTTCTCTATAATTTTGACCACAAATGCAGCTTTCATTTTTTACTCCGGCTTGTGGAAAAGAGAAGAATAAATGTTTCTATTTTTCGTTTTACTGTGAAATACTGTGAAAAAATATTGTGTCTGCTAATGATTCTCAGAGTATCTATTTCCTGGGCACGACTAATATTTGTATCTCAAATATTATCAAATGGGTTGCCTTCTCTATGAATAATAGCTTCTTCAAGGGACAAAAAAAAAAACGATGGCAAAATCTCATAATTTTAGATCAATTCATTCCTCTTTTAAAGTTCACTCATTTTATGTCATAGAGAGCTGAAATACCTGTCGAATATGTTTTTTCTACTGTGAATTAAAATTTTCATTTCTTCTTTAATCGAACAGGTGGTGGATTTGTGATAAGTCCTGTGAAACAAGGTAAAAAGTGTGTTGTAAAACACATGCTGGCTGTTGATTGGAGAATCTGGAAATCCTATGTAATGAAAGCATCTGCAAGAACTGTAACTATCAGTTTTCTTGAGAGAGTTGGAGGTAAAAATATGTGTCACTTTTCAATTAAAAATTTTCGGGTTTTTCCAACCGAAGTTCACTAAAATGGATGGAATTATTTTGGCACATTGCAGCATTAAGAGAGTTGTTCAGAGTAAAAGGCTTAAATAATTCACATGAAATTTTTTCGGGAGAGATAACAAGAGAAATCGGGGTGCCTCACTGTGAAGAAGATGATATCAAAACTGAAATTGACTTGATGGGGATGGAGATTGTAAGAGAAGATGAGCCACGGCCTTCAAATCTTATGGGACTGAATGGTGCAGTTGATGAGTTTTTCGATGTTCCTGAACCATCCGATGATGAACGATCAGAGAATGAGCGGCCTTTGATCACAAGTACAGAATTATGCTATGTGGTATTTTCTGTTTTTCATATTCAAAATTTTAATTTGATCGTATTTTTTCCTACTATTTCTTGCATTGAAGCAGATCCTATCTTGTTCTCAAGTTTTTCTTTTCGAGAAATTCACTTTCTTGACAAATTTTATGATGTCTACACTGGTTTTTCTATTTCGAATGCTGAAATTAGCATAAGCATATGTAATGTGGAGAAACAAAACTGATTGGTGAGTAATTACGGGACCTAGACAAAGGCAAGTGCTTTTGTTTTACTCCTGTATAATAAACACGATAGAATAGGAATGTTGATTGAAAATCAAAGCAATCTGAAACCTTTTTCGGTATATTTCTCTTTATTGTACTGATTTCTCTTATAGAGGAGAATACATTAAAAAATAAGGAAAATAACCAAAAATAGGAAACTGACTAAAAATTAGCTATCTAGCTGTACTAGCTAATTCCTAATTTACACCATTAACTTATTCTCTATAATTACAAATATTTCTTTCCTTTTCTACACTCCCCCTCAAGCTGGTTTGAAGATATCCTCCATAGCCAGCTTGCCAATTAGCTCATTGAATTGCCCAGTAGGAAGTCCCTTAGTAAGCACATCTGCAACTTGCTGAGTAGTGGGAATGTAAGGCATACAGATTAATCCTTTCTCTAGTTTTTCCTTGATGAAGTGTTTGTCGACCTCCACATGCTTTGTTCTATCATGAAGCACTGGATTATGAGCAATTGAAATGGCAGCTTTATTGTCACAATACACTTTCATGGGTAGTGGATTAGAAACTTTTAATTCTTCCAAGAGTCTTTTAATCCACAACACCTCACAAATCC